GGACTCTGTCTTCCCCCTACCGCCACCCCCAGCCCTGCTCCGCCCCTCTGGGAACCCTTCTTGCACCTCCTTTCGATTCCTCAGGAGCAATTTCGGTCCTGGGGCGGGCAGGCCACCTTCGGGAGAGGCCGGCGGGAGCCGGGTCTGCCGCCCGGTGTGACCCCCAAACCCCCGGCCCTCCCCCGAATCTTGTCCCACTTCTTAATAGGATCTGGGGCCCCCAGCCGCTCGGCTGATGGAACCACTCATGGGGGCCCGAGAGGGTACCCCCGGGGGCTGCGTGGAGCGAGGGGACCGTTTCGGGGGAGGGGGGTGCTGCTTGGTTGGGGGATGGGCGGTAGCCGGGGCTGGCAGCCAGGCCGGGGGTTTTGTGTGTGAGAAGAATAGGGGTTTGGCCCGCGTTGGCATACTCGCTTCCCTGAATGCTAATGGGGCCCGCGGCCGCAGGCTCCTCTCCTCCCCTCGGGGCCCAGCAGCCCCTCCTCCGCGGCGGCCAGGAGTGGGCACAGTGGGCGTCAGCTGTCCCGGGAGCAGGCTCGTGGGGGAGCATCGGCGCCCTGGCCGTCGGGCAGGCCAGCGTCTGTTTCTCTGGCACGGGGCAGAGTGGTCAGAGTGTGGTACTGTGTCCGCCTGTGAATGGGGGATGCTGCCTTGGGGTCTTCTGGCCACTTCCCACACATCCTTTTTGGCATCTCCCCTTTCTGGGCAGCTTTTCTGAGCTCCTCGGTCTGGGTACAGCCTCCTTTGGTCTCCCCTGCTACCTCGTGCCAACCCTGGCTTGTCTCCTACTGTGCACCTCATTATAATGGCCAGCCAGTTTATTGTCTTTCCACCTGGCTGTGGGCTCCTTGAGACCCGGCATCCTTGCCCAATAAAGATTATGGATTGAATGAATGAATGAATGAATGGGTGAGTGAATGAACAACTGGTGTGATGGCCCAGCTGTCTGTTGCATGTGACGGTGTGTGGCTACGGCTGGGTCACCATCAGGGTGTGAATGTCTGGTCAGAATTATATGGCTTGAAGGGTAGGTCCCTGTGTACCTGTGCATTTGGGAGGGGCCCCTTGGCCGGAGACTGAGTTGTGTCGTTTGGGTGACAAGCATCTGTCACTGTGGGCTATTGTGGTTCAGCTGGTGGTGGTCATGAGCCATGGTTACTGGTGTGTGCCCGTGTGGCTGTGGAAGATGGGGCTGAGACCCGGGACAGCTCTCAGAGGAGGGATCAGAGTTGGAGGAGAGCTTCTTGTGCCCCTGGAGGTGAGGAGGTGCAGAAGAAGGCTCAGACAACACCCCCAACACACACATAGTGGGGGCCAGGCCCTTCCTGAGCGTCTTGAACTGCCCCCCACCCTGCCACACACACACACACACACATATCCGCCCACCCCACATGTACACACTTTATGGACCCCCCAGCCATCAGAGTAAACCATTTCCCATTTGATTCACAGAAATTTTGTAAGTTGTGCCTGAAGGAGCAAGGAAGGAGTTGCTCCCCACCCCTACCCTCCCCACCAGCTGCAGCCAGGACATGGCCCCTTCTGCCTCCTGGAAGCTGGGCCGCCCCTCCTGCTCCCCTGGAAACTGTTGCTGGGGTTGGAGCCTCCAGGCCCAGACCCCTCCCAACTCCCAACACCTCTGCCCCAGAGCAGCTTTCCCCAGGCCCCAGGGCTGGGCCTCCCACTCCTGCCTTCTAAACCTGCTCTCTCAACCCCTCCAACCCTCAGCCATCACCCCTGTAATTGGGAGGATGAGGGGCATGGGGAGGGGGTATCAAGGAGCTGCTTCTCTGAGATGGGGTTGGCGGTTTCTGGGGACTTCCCCACTCTCCTTTGAGGTCCCCTGAACAAGGCAGTGGGTGGAAAGGAAGGGCTGCCCTTGGGAGAGCCAGTAATCAGCTGCTCTAAGCCCTGTCACTCTCTTGACCTGAGCAACCCGTGGCTCTGGGGGAGCTCTCATAGCTGGGACCTTATAAGGGACAGTCCCATCTGGGCCCTCTCCACTGCCCCAACAGGGCCCTTCTTGCAGGGCCTAGGCCCTGACTGGGAGGCTGAGGCCCAGCTCCAGCATCTCCTGCTCAATAAAGTCTCCCTTTGCCACTCCACCCCCAGCTGGAACCTGCTGCTCCCCAGACATGCTCCAATCAGTGCCTCAAACTTGCCTAGTCTTTGGTACATCTCTGCCCACCTCCCCAGGGGCCTAAGGGCTCCTGGAGGGCAGGGGCTGTCTGGGCTTATCCATGGGGAACTCCCAGCCCCAGCTCAGAGCTAGAGGCAGCAGGCATTCCAGCCACTGATGAACGAGGGGCCCTGTCAGGAGTCACAGCCCTGAGAGGCTCACAGCCAGCCCCACAGCCCCAGGCCCCAGCTGGCAGCCTGCCTGTCCCTTGAGCTTTGCTGACCTGGGCAGGGATTGTGGGGAGCTGTCCCTCAGGGGGGTGGTCTTGGTGAGGAGGTCACCCTGTCTGTTCTTTCTGCCCCTCCTAATGTCCTGTCTTCCTTCCCCTCCTCCTCTGTCCTCCTCTCCCCTCCCAGGGGAGTACGCTGAGGGCGTCAGTGAGCGAGACATCCTGCTCATCCACTCCTGCCGCCAGTGGACAACGGTGACAGCTCATACCCTGGAGGAGGGCCACTATGTCATCGGGCCCAAGATTGACATCCCCCTGCAGTACCCAGGTGTGCCCAGCCAGGAAAAGATGTCATAAAGCCTGCGGGGGGTGTAGGCAGGAGGGGTTGGGGCCAGGGGTAGGGGGAACGCTGTGACTAGCGAGGCGGTGATTACGGTTAGGGTTGGAGTCAGGGCCCGGCAGTTTTCATTCTGTTCTGTGGAGCTCTGGGTTTCTGGAGAGGTGGCTCACAGGTTTTTTGATTCACATTTTATTTTAAAGTAGATTTGAAACTAACGATTAAAAAATACCCACACTCTTAAATTACTACAAATCAGAGCTTAACCCTAATCAGAGGCCTTCAGGGTATACTTTCAGCTGCCACACTTACCCTTTTTTGTGCAGACCCTCCAAGAGAACATGTCCTGCCAGGACCTTTTCAGTACTGTGCACCAAACGCCGCAGAAACCAGCGAATGCCCAAGCTGATTACATGGCTGCGCCTCTCTGCACTGATCCTGTTTTTCCCAATTTTTGCATTAAACCTATTGTTTCCATTGGTTGACTTTATAAGTTAATGTTAAAAATTTTAGACTTTTAAAGATTATGCTAATGGCTACCTTTATTAGTTTTATAAGTGATGTTGACATATAATAAGAGTTTGTCTGAAGAAATGATTCTGTTAACAAAAAAGGAAGTACAGCCCCTTCATTTTATAGATGATGAAATGGAGGGTTTGGGGGAGGAGGTGACTTGTCCCTTGTCACACAGCTAGGAAAGGAAGAGCATGGCCAGATCCAGGTATCTCAACTGAGGGCTGGTGTCTGCTGCACCACACCAGGAGCATGTGGTTGCTGTCCCCTGTGTGGGAGGGATGGGATTCTGGTGGCCCCATCCCAGAGATGTCCCCGTGCGAGCCCCGGATCCCACAGCTGCCATGTGTTAAGCATGTGCTGCATTCCATACGCTGGGCCGAACATTTTTGCCATTTCATCCTCATGGCAACCTGATGAGAAAGTCTTATCAACTCCATTTAACTCACCAGGAAACTGAGGCTCCAGGAGTTTCAGTGGCTTGCCCAGTGCCGTGTTTTTTGTTTTTTGTTTTTGTTTTTAGAGGTGGTCTCCTTATGTTGCCCAGGATGGTCTCAAACTCCTGGTCTCAATGAAGCTTCCTGCCTCAGCCTCCCAGAGTGCTGGGATTATAAGTGTGAGTCACTGCGCCAGGCCCAGTTCTGTGTGCGTGTGTGTTTTCTGTTGCTCGGGCTGGAGGACAGAGGCGCCATCTTGGCTCACTGCCTCTGAGGTTCAAGCGATTCCCCTGCATCAGCCTACCAAGTAGCTGGGATTACAGGTGCCTGCCACCATGCTCGGCTAAGTTTTGTATTTTTAGTAGAGACAGGGTTTCACCATGTTGGCCAGGCTCGTCTCAAACTCCTGACCTCAAGTGATCCAGCCGCCTTGGCCTCCCAAAGTGCTGGGATTACAGGTGTGAGCCACTAAACCCAGCCTAGTTCTGTGTTTTTAACTGCTGTGCCCAGCTGCTCCTGACAACCCTCTCACCAAGGCTGGGAAGCCTTTGAGTTGGGAAGGCCCCATTGCTTGCTCACAGGTAGCCCTGCCCCCTCTGACCCTGGGTCTCCCTGAGCCAGGAGGACAGGACTGAGCCCTTTACAGAGGCTTCTGTCTTTTATAACCTGTGAAGTTGGTACCTGTGTACTAACCTTTAAAAGATATGGAAACTCACTCAGATGTCTTTCTGACCTGCGGTTCTGTCTTGGGCTTGGAGCCCCCTGGGGGCCTGCTCAAGCTAGAAGTTTCCCAGCTTGGTTGGGGGAGGTCCCCAGTCTTCTTGGGATGAAAAAAGCAAAGGTTGCCTGAGCAGTGGCTGGTATATGTAATCCTAGTGCTTTAGGAGGCTGAGACAGGAGGATCCTTTGAGGCCAAGAGTTCCAGGCCAGCGTGGGCAACACAGCGAGAACAGTTCTCTGCAAACAAAACCAAAACCAAGCAAACAAACAAAGAAAACTCCAACAATAAATAAATTAGCTGGCGTGGTGGTGCAGGCCTGTAGTCTGGCTAAAGGGGAGGCTGAAGCCAGGTGGGGGGATCCCTTTAGTCCAGGAGGTTGAGACTGCAGTGAGTTATGATGGTACCCCGACATTCCAGCATCTAAAATAAATAAAAATTAAAAAGAGAAAGAAAGGTTGGGAAAATCCCTCACTGAAAAAAAACGTGACTTTAGGGACTTCATTTTGGTTGTGTCATTAAAACTCTGGGAACCCGAGGCACAGTCTCCCAGGGAACCGTGGGTCCAGGGGCTCCTAGCTCTTCCTCCCATCTCTCTGGCGCCCCTGCGTGCCTGTGTACGGTGGTGGTCTTGGGGGGCGCGGCCCCAGCCCCAGCCCCATCTTTCCGCGGGGCTGCTACTGTCCACCCGCACGGGGGAGGGGAGACGGAGGGGGAGGCCCCTAGGAGGGTGAAGGCCGGCGGGTTAACGAGGAGTCGCTGAGTGCACGGCTGGGCTCCAGGCTGATTTCTCCTAATGAATTAATAATAGCGCTGGGCGGGCGGGGGCGGCCGGCTGCGGACCGGCGAGAGAGCCGCGGGGAAGGCCAGGGAGGGAGGAGGACGGCGCCCCGCGCGGGGTGGGGCTGGGGGCACTGCCGGTGACTCGGTCTCCAGGCTGCGGCGCTCTGCTCTGGGAGTCAGGGAGACCTGGCCAGGCCCCGTACTGTCCCCTCTCCCAGCCCCTGCCCCCGGCCCCGGCCCAGCGGGAGGGGCCAGGCGTCTTCCCTGAGCATGGGGCCACTTCCCCAGTGTTGGCCTTGTTTCCTGCTCAGCATTTGGCAGATGCGCCTCTGGCCAGCGGGATGTTTCCATTTTACAGATGGGAAATCCGAAGCCCAGAGAGATTAAATAATTTGCCCAAGGTCACACAGCTGGCTAGTGGCAGGGTGGGATTCAGCCAGATTTGTCGCACTCTAAAACCTGAGCTTTTACCCATGTTCTTTACTGAGTGTGTGCTGTGGGCAAGGCATGGAGAAGGGTGGTCAGCAAGCCCCTGCCACAGCCCAGGTGCTTGGGGCTGGAAGGGAGGAATGAGGCAGCCATGTGTTCTGACGGCAAGGACAAGGATGAGGGGCAGGTCAGGATGGGGCAAGTCCCTAGAGCCGTGGGGGACATCAGGTCCCATATAGGGGGAGGCAGGAGAGGTAGCCGCCCCTGAGCTGGCGGGGAGGAAAAGGCTTCCAGGGTACAGAGCATCACTCCCTGGAGGGCTCCCTTCCTTCCTCCCGCAGTAATGACCGGCGCTGGGCTTCAGGCTGCCGCGGAGGGGATGGTGCTGGATGCCATGGTTACATCGATCTTCCCTGCCACATCCTCCCCCAGCTCCAGCCCTGACTTGGCTCCAAGTCTCCCCACAGGGGGCAGTGGGCATTGCTCCCTGCCTGGCTACTTGTGGTTGGGGCAGGGGCAGGGGTGGGGGGTTGTGTGTGGACTTGGGGGAGGAGGCCGGGGTGAGGGGAGTGGGGCTACTCAGTGCCTGCAGTTTCTGCTTCCCAAGTCCTAGACCCCTGCTTCTTGCCTGCCCCCGTCCACATTTTTCCGCTGTTGCCTTCTAGGGCTGTGGCACTTCAGAGGCCTCTTCCCAGGTGGGTCCCAGGGTGGGGAGGGCAGGCCTGGGGGCTCCCCCACCAGCATTCTCCTGACCATTCCCCTTGTTCTGGGCTGTCATTTCTCTCCCTGCTCAGTGATGATGCTTCAGGCCCTGCTCTCTGCTCCTCTTACCCTGCACCATGGGTGTCTTCATCTGGGTCTCTGGCTGGGTTTGGGGGTCCCCAGGAACCCCCGGCACTGCATACACAAGTGTGCATGTGTTCATGCTAGGATCACAGTGTGCGCATTTTTCTGGGATGAACATCCCCAAAGTGTCAAGCCCCCTGCTCTTCCTCTTCCCTGAGCCATCTCACTTGCCTCACAGCCGCGGCTGCCACCTGTGGGCTGGTGACCTTCAGTCTGTTTCACTGGCCAGATGTCCCCAAGTTCTGCACACACACTGGTGGCACCCACCCTGGGATCACCACCTGAAGGCCCCTTCCTTGGCCTCTCCAGGATCTGCCTTGGTCCCACAACATGTGCCTTCTGGGTTCCCAGTTTTGGTTAACAGCTCTGCCATCTCCTTTTCTTTTCTTTTCTTTTTTTTTTTTTTTTTTGAGACAGAGTCTCGCTCTGTTGTCCAGACTGGAGTGCAGTGCTGTGATCTTGGCTCACTGCAACCTCCGCCTTCCAAGTTCAAGTGATTCTCCTGCCTCAGCCTCCCAAGTAGCTGGGACTACAGGTGTGTGCCACCACACCCAGATAGGTTTTTGTATTTTTAGTAGAGATGAGGTTTCACCATGTTGGCCAGGCTGGTCTTGAACTGCTGACCTCAAGTGATCTGCCCACCTTAGCCTCCCAAAGTGCTGGGTTACAAGCGTGAGCCACCGTGCCTGGCCTGCCATCTCCATTTCTGACCAGGCTGGTGGCCTGAGTACATCATCCTGAGTCCCTTCCTTCCCCAACTGCCCCTTATTCAGTCACCCAAGCCTGCTGGGTCTCCCTTCCCAGTGTCTCTTGGTCTGTTTCTGCTATTCCCTAGCTCTTCTCTAGAACCCCTTACTGGTTCGTTTACCTGACTGGTCTCTTGGTTATTTTAATAGAGCTGAACCTGGATCATGGTATTTCTTTGCTCGAAACACTCCAGTGGGTCTCATGTTGTACAGAATACAGTCTCACCGCTTTAAGCAAGGCATTCAGAGCCTCTCAAATCCCAGTTGCTGTCTGCATCCCCTCCTGTCCTCCCTCTCCCTAAGTCCTTCCCTGCAGGCACGCACCATCTGGGGCAGGTGGTCTGATTTTGTGTCTCTGTGTCTTTGTTTAAACTGTTTCTTCCACAGGGAATGCTCATTCTGTGAATTCCCTTTCATTCTTAAGGTGCAGCTCAGTGATCCTCTCAGATTCCGCCAGGCAGGTTTCTCCTACCCAGCTGTCTTCTAACTCTTTTGTCACAAGTCTGTTGTAGCACTTATCACATCCTACCATCATTGGGTACTCATCGTCTCACCCACTATATCTGGATTTAAGGGCAGACTGTATTTTACACAGATTTGTACCCTGTGTGTGGCCTACCATAGTCTCTGACACATAGTGAGTGCTCCATCAATATCTGTGCAATGATTAAATGAATGAACTGTGACAGAAGCAACTACCAAGGGGGCTTCAGAAGCTAAAGAAGGCCCAGCACGGTGGCTCACACCTGTAATCCCAGCGCTTTGGGAGATCATAGTAGGAGGATCGCTTGAGCCCAGGAGTTTGAGACCAGCCTGGGCAACATCATGAGACCTCATCTTTAATAGAAATAAAAAGTTAGCCAGGCATAGTGGCACATGCCTGTGGTCCCAGCTACTTGAGAGGCTGAGGCAGGAGGATCCCTTGAGCCCAGGAGGTCAAAGCTGCAGTGAGTTGTGATCATACCACTGTACTCCACCCTGGGTGACAAAGCAAGACCCTGTCTCAAAAAACAAAAACACCCAGAGGCTAAAGAGTCACCTTGTCTTCTCTCGACTTGTTCCCTCACCTAGTCACGGCTCTCTTCCTACTGTATAAAGCCTGAGAAAAGGCCATCCATCGGATGCCAGGGCAGCTCAGAGTTTGTCTTTGTGCTCCTGTGGGTATGCATATAAAAGGTGAGGTGAGATAGCTTACACAGGGATGTCAGCTTCACAGACTGGCAATCACTTCTGTAAAGTCTGTGTCTCCTAAGGGCATGTGCTGAGCTTGGCAAAGCACACAGCCCCAGACTGCAGGTTGGGAAGGCCTCCTCTCAGGGAGGTAGGTGGCTTTGCTAGGTTCAGGTCAGAGCCTCTGGGAGAGTAGGATTGGATATCGGAGCAGGGCAGGGTGTGGGAACAGAGCTGGGGTCAGAGTGGCTCTCCCAGAGCCTTCAAGGGCTGCTCCAGGCCCTCATTGGCCCAGTGCCACTTCCATGCGGATGAGCAGCCCAGGGCGAAGCACAGGATGCCAGATCCAGGTAGGGCCCACAATCATCTGTCCCCACCCCCTCAGATGAGGACCCAGAGGCCCAGAGAGGGAAAGGAACTTGTCACGGCAAATCAGAGGTCAGGCTGGGACCGAGCAAGGAGCCAGCATCCTGGTACCCCACCGATAGTTGATCAGAGGCCAGCTCTGTGTCCACATGTTTGGGGCTATTTGCAATTGGGTTCTCTGGGCAGGCAGCCGCTGCCTCACTGCATACCCACAGGCTGTCTATGGGGTGAGGGCTGGGCTGTAGATGCTAGGGATCTGTGCTCACCTTGCTGAAGTTGGAGCCAGATGACCAGCCCCCTTCAGCCCGTGCCAGTGGAAACCTGCCCTTTGGCCTTCCTTAGTTCCTGAGGGACTGGCTGAGATTATGCTAGCAGGGGACCACGAAGCCTCTTGGGATGCAGGCAGGCTCACTCCAGCAACTTTTGTCACCTACTATGCAGGGAAGTTCAAGCTCCTGGAACAGGCCCGGGATGTGCGGGAGCCAGTGAGGTACTTCAGCAGCGTGGAGGAGGTGGCCAGTGTCTTCCCTGACCGCATCTTCGTGATGGAAGCCATCACCTTCAGCGTCAAGGTCAGTCACTCCATCACCAGGTGTGGTGTCCCCACACTACTCCTTGCCTCAGGGGCAACCCTGACCCTGGTTGGAAGGTTGCCCTCAGGATCCAAGAAGGAGAGTGGCTCCTGGGGACCCCTTAGGGGCCTTTGGCACAATTGAGCCATGTCAGAAGAGTGGGGAATAGGACCCACTGGGCTGAAGGACTTCCTGCGAAAGGTAGTGAAGAAGGAAGGGGTGTCTGGAAGGGTCATGTTCTGACTTGGAGACTTTTCAGGGCAACCTGTCCCTAGCTGCCCCAGCACCCACTTGTAGAGGTGGTGGTTGTGGTAAGCAGGCAGTGTAAATAGGCCCCTGCTGTGGGGTGGGAGCAGTGCTCATGCCTCTAATCCCAACACTTTGGGAGGCTAAGGAGGGAGGATCGATTGAGGCCAGAAGTTTGAGACCATCCTGGGCAACATGGAGAGACCCTGTCTCTACAAAAAATGTTAAAAAATTAACTGGGCACGGTGGTGCACATCTATAGTCCTAGCTACTTGGGAGGCTGAGGCAGGAGGACTGTTGCCAGGAGTTTGAGGCTGCACTGAGCTGTGAATGTGCCACTGCCCTCCAACCTGGGCGACAGAGCAAGACCCTGTCTCAAAAAAAAAAAAAAAAAAAAAAAACAAACTAAAAACAGTCCCTACTGTGTACAGATAGTGCTGTTCTGTTTACAAACCCTTTTCTTATCCATCAGTTCATTTCTCTTCACGTAGCCTTGTTGGATGGGCAGGGCATTATGATCTCGAAAATGGTACAGACAATGATAATAAAAGTCACCATTTACTGTATACTTTAAAATACGTTGCTGATCCAAGTAGCGGAGAAGAAAAGAAAAATATGTTACTGCACATACAGTCTTTTTAATCCTACAGCAGTTCTTCGAAGTAAGAGTTATCAGATATGGTCGCTAAGGCGTGGAGGGGCAACTCATTTAAGGTGGCACAGCTGCTAGTCGTCTCTCCAGGATGAACGTGGATCTCTTGGCCTACAGCCCAATGCTTTCCATCTGGTCCGAGCCCCGGGAGGGCGGAAGAGGAAGGCTGTTTTCCCTTTCCAGTCTCTGGGAGCTGGCCGCGTGGCTTTCCCTGGGACCTGGCTAAGGCTCTGCCCTGTCTCTGGGATCCCCAGGTGGTGTCGGGCGAGTTCAGCGAGGACAGCGAGGTGTACAACTTCACGCTGCATGCGGGCGACGAGCTCACTCTTATGGGCCAGGCGGAGATCCTGTGCGCCAAGACCACCAAGGAGCGCTCGCGCTTCACCACCCTCCTGCGAAAGCTGGGCCGGGCCGGTGCGCTTACCGGGGTGGGAGGTGGCGGCCCCGCGAGCGCGGGGGCCGCGGGAGGCAGCGGCGGCGGGGGCGCCAGGCCGGTCAAAGGCAAGATGCCCTGCCTCATCTGCATGAACCACCGCACCAACGAGAGCCTGAGCCTACCCTTCCAGTGCCAGGGCCGCTTCAGCACTCGCAGCCCGCTGGAGCTGCAGATGCAGGAGGGCGAGCACACGGTGCGCGCCATCATCGAGCGCGTGCGGCTACCGGTGAACGTGCTGGTGCCCAGCCGGCCGCCGCGCAACCCCTACGACCTGCACCCGGTGCGGGAGGGTCACTGCTATAAGCTGGTTAGCATCATCTCCAAGACGGTGGTGCTCGGGCTGGCGCTGC